AGACTAGAAAACGACATGTGGATAGCGAGTAAGCAATAGATATAGTATCACCTGTATCACCTGTCGTCCCGTTGATCGTCGATTTGCTCGAGCGGGCGCCAGCAACGTCTCCATTCGTCCCTGTCGCGTGCTAGTGGTCCAGTGGATCCTCCTCGCTCGAGGGACACGAAGTCCTTCATTCCTTTCGTTCAGAGCTTTCGTGAAGAAGTCTGACCATCGGGCCGGCGGTCGTCCAGGTGTTCGTTTGACGTCCCGAGGGATCCAGTCGGGTTAACTAGGAAAATTAATAAAATTAAAAAAGCAACCCAAATTCTCAAAGACTGTGTCGATCTGTTATCGAGCATCGCCTTTACAGAGAGTATCGCCCCGCAGGTAAGTCTCCCCAGTTCGTCATGACTTATAAATGCAACCTTTGCCTTCTTTTCCGGCACATGGTTTTTTGTTTTGGAATCGAACTCGAAATTTTCACCTTTGGTACTGTTCTTCTCGGTGCGTGTCACGCCTGGGCGGGGCTCCGTTAGGCTGGTGTTGTTCTGCGCTTCTTCGGTGATGACTCACCTATTTCAAGCTTGACCCGATCTCTCCAGGTGGACCTTCAGAGAGTAGTGAATTTTTTAAAGGCGAACAGACACAGATACACACGCGAAGCGCTTTACAGAATTGTCTCTCTATGATCACTTTAGTCCCGTGATATTTCTCGGTGAATTATTCAATTCGTTCAGATATGAGTTCAAGAAGGAAGGACAGAAAGCAGCTCTACTTGAACTTGGACCTCGGTTCACGCTAAGACTGAAGTGGCTCCAGAAAGGAACATTTGACACTAGATGGGGCGAGTATGAGTGGGTTTTGAAGGTGAGGCTTGTTGAATTAGTTGCTTTGAGGTAGTTTCTGAATTCGAGGATCCATTGCCGTACTTTTTCAGCGCCATGAAATGGAAACGTCGCGACGAAGATTCTTCTTATAAAGACAGAGGCATGCGGCATGTAATTGTTACTGTTATTGTTGTTGTTCATATTAATGTTTCGTTGCGCAGATGAGTTCAAAGGAAAAATCGTGTATCAAAGAAAACTATTCGAAGTTTGAAAGAGTTTTGTTCTGCTTGCGGTTACTATCCATTATATCTTGGAAACTTTGAAATGTCTGAGCTTACTATTCGTGAAATGTTTTCTGGAAAGCTTTTCTGACAGGCATGTTGAGTCGGAGGTGCGCTTTAACAGCAGCACAACAGCTACGAGTTCGAGCGCAAATTGGTGGCCGCGGAAGTCTTGGACCACTTAGGTACTGTATTCGCTTTTTATTAAATTATGGTATGTTTGTACTCATACGGTGAAGGATCGTAATTGCTGTCTCTTCGTTCGTGTACTTTTTCTAAGATTTTCCGCAATTGGATGAATCGGTCGAAGGGTTTTTCAAAAAAAAAAATCTAGAGCAGATTCCTAGAGTGGCAGGAAAAAGTTCGTTCGGGGGCCTTTGTTCGTTGCGATCTCGACGATATTGATAGAGCCAAAAGTATGAATTATTTTCATGCTATTACTGATTTGACGAGCAGTTCTAATTTTTGCCTGAGTGCAGTATTCTCCAGAAAGAATGTATTTTCCCGTTGATCACATTGCGCCTTCAGGAACCGATTTGCCTGGGGCGAGGATGCACTTGGACCCCATGTCCCCGTCGGTGGAAAAATGGGAGCTCCTGAAAACCCAGAGCTGCACACTTATGATGGAGAGTATCGTGGAACTCCTTCAAAAGGAGATGTACTTATACCTGAGTAAGTTTCTTTCTTAAATTTTTATTCATGATTTTAATCCGGTTACTTTTTTCAGTTGGTCCTACCGTTCTGCCACTAAGACCACTACATACATTGACAGATGTGTAACGAAATTCATCTCAGCCCTACTTTGGGGTTGGTTCACGTACCACATGTATTACCATTCAGGACATATTTTCGTAAGTTTTCAGCGACTACAGTGGGGTCTCACTTCGTATAATGTATGCTATACGAATTTATTAGGGACATTGGTACATGCCATATTTGCATGAGTTTTCCGATGAAGAGCTTGGTATACTTCCTGATTCGGCAGAAGATCCGGAATACTGGGGCAACCATGGAAAGAAATATGGGACATACCGTTAGAAAAGTCTATTTTGTTTTTGATCTTGTAGTGAAAATCGTATTGGTAAGTGGTGTTTTCATAGCGATAGTGTATAAATATTCGAGAGCCTGTTTGAAGTACACCACAGTAACTTAGCTATCGGTTCCACTATCTTGTGATGGCCCGTCATCACGCTTACAATGGTTTTGTATTTCGTTCATGTGTTGTTTCTGAAATCTTGTGAAGTGCCGTAAGTCACCTTAAGGCCTACGAAGTTATACGGTGGCCATGTGCACGAATGTGATTGTACTGGTGGGAAGTGGGCCGGCAGTAAAGAAAAAAGGAAAAGAATCCGTCAAAAACGCTTAGGTTAAGGGCTCACTCACCTTCCTAATCGGCTGTGCTAAGGGAATGAGAGACTAAGCGCGGAGAGGAGAGTATGAGGCGAGAGAGCGCTACAGATGAGAGAGCGCCAGACAACAGCCTGATAAGAAAAAAAAGTCTGCAGCTTGGGCAGCTTACTTTGCAAGGCCTAAGCGCTCTTATCGGTCGGTCTTCGTGCACGAGGACGCCACATCTGTGATTGTCCTCTAGGGTTCTATACTAGTGACCGAAGAGAAGCGTTCACACGAACTCTGCCTGGGTTGTGCCTTTAACCCTAGTGTGAGAATGAAGTCCCGCGAATACAATCAATTTAGATCCGTGGGACATCGTACTTGTGAAATAGAAGATGATCGCAAAAGTCAATTAAGACACTGAAACTTGGGTTAACACGATAGAGGGGTCATATTCTTGGGAATGCGCTTCATGATTGGAGACATTTGCAGTGAAACGTTGTTTCTGTTCTTCCGTTATGATTAAGATATTGGCGACATTACGGCTCGATGTGGGGATGCAGCATAGTCGTACCTTTTCCGCAGGATTTCGAATGGTTAAACGGTGATAGTTATGAAGCATCTATAGCACTTAGGTGGTCAGGATCACGTCATCTTTTTCTCAATAGGTGTTTTAGTCAAGAGGTTTTGTTGAAACTGGGCGGGAAGCAGTGTAGTGCGCGAAGGTGGCGCTGCTTGACACATGCGCGGGTCAGGATGGATCGAAAGGCACGCGTCGTAGGGGCGCAACCAGCACATCCATATCTCTGGCTCGCTCATTGGTACGAACTTGTCTGGGAATGCTTGAAAAATTGCTTTGTAATCAGCTGGGGCCCCGCAAATCATTGTATAACCCACATCGCATTCAAATGCCATTACGAATGTACAAATGGAAGTGTGCCGCATCCTATGTGAAGCTGGACCGCTTTTTACTTACTTAGATACTTAGATGGCTCGTCTTCACTCCATGTGCGAGCCACCGCACAGATTCCATTCGTTTCGTCCTCTCGCTACCGTCATCCACGATACCTTTCTTCCTTGACGGCCACGAGTTTCCATAGCGGACTTCAGAACGTTAACGAACACGTCGGCCCATCTAATAGGTGGTCTCGTACCTAGTTCGACTCGCTGGTACATCGTTCGACTCGCTGGCGCAAAGTTCGATTCGCTGGTGCAACGTTCGATTCGCTGGCGCAACGCTCGGATCGAGCGATTCGCTAGCGAATCGCTCGATTCGCAAACTATGACATCGGCCTAGCAGCGTGTCCCGGCGCCAGCACCTAAAATCGCACTGTGTCAGTGGCGTAAGGAAAGACATTCGCGATGAATTGTTGTTAAAAGGATGCGAAATTCTTCGCTAGGGAGGGAACCCTTAGTATTCACAGATCGCGCACATTATGTGTTGTCAGTATTATGGGCATATCGGGATTAACCATGGAATAGCGCTCGTCTTAATCGCTGGCTCCAGAGTGGAAATGAGTGGACAATGAAGGGGCCCGTTCCTGGGTTCTGGGCAGCCTTTCTTGATTTTTTCTTTATCAGTGCACATTTGACCACCTCATATTTCATTTCTAGCGCACGACCATTGCATTACAAAATCCGCCTTCAAGGGTTGAGATCGAATCGCATGGATGGGAAGATTTACTATGAGAGCCTGGGTCCGAATGACAGGAAGTGACTGGCCAAGTCGTTTTGTGGGAGATGAATGTGAGGTACAATAGCAAGGATTTGTTTGCTACGACGTGGGAGTGACCCTAAATTGCGTTTGAGACAAGTGGAGAAGAGCTTTAATAAATAAGCAAGAGCAACAACCAATTAGAAACGAAAATTCTTGATGAAGTGAAGGTGAGCTGTGTCGATGAAATTCAAGAGGCCAACAAACAGAAACATACTATCGTGTGCAGGGCGTGACCGTTTCTCTAACGTTGAGCCTACAGGCTCTCCTTGAGCCACTGAGGCTCTGTCGAACCAACCGAGTCACTGATGCTGTTTTCAACAGGCCACTAAGGCCTTATGACCGAGCCTCCGAGGCTTCTCTCTCCAGGCCGCCGAAGCCAAATCACCGATTCTTAGGTTTTTCCACTGACGAGCCACTGAGGCTCCCATCACTACGCAAAAAGGCTATCTCTTGCCGAGCCTAGGTTTACGGGCGCGGGTCTTTTACGCGCCCTCAGGCTCTTAACTAACATACCGCTCGGCACCACACAGATGCCTGAAGACTAGAATTACCAGAACCACTGGGATATCTGGAACCTGCAACCCGAATTTGCGGACCCCTCTAAGGGGACTTCCTCGCGTGAGTGATTTCCCTCCGGAAAGTGGTATCTCATGACTCTCCGCGAAGAACAGCTACGCCGTTCTCCTCGACCTACAGTGCGCTGTCCAAAGATCTCCTGAATTGTTATGATTCTTCCAAAGGGAGCTCTTACGACCAGGTCATACTGCCGTTGTGAAAGAAGAGTGCCAAAAGCGCGTTGGTAAAAAAGTGAAAAGGTCAAAATCCCAGAAAACGGGATCATATTTCCGCCCTCTGGTGCTGGAATGGATGAGTTAACCATTAACAGCGCACTTGGAAAAGACAATTGAATAGGAGCGGTGACGAATTCACTTCAAAACTGGTGTCATTATTCCTTTCATGCCCTGACGGTAGACGTGTCTTAGAATGGTGGGAAGCAGGGTCAACCGTCCGTTCGAACTGTTCGAACGAAGGGGTCGCATTTTGGTCGGAAGGGGGTCGCAATTTCGAGGACTGCCAGCCACAGGCGCGTGCGTGGCGTATCCGAGGGCAAGACTTGCTTGTGCAGACCGCATTAGATTCGATTTATTATGCACAGAGAGGCAAATTACGGTGTTTTCTTGAGGAATAAAGAACAGTTGAATGCATCCCTATGAAAGGTTTGACTTCTCGGGGCTGAAATTAAAGTTCTTCGGGACCTAATTTTTTGAGGACGATTCTTCCAGACAACGGTAAAACACATAAGAAAGCAGAAATCTCGTAGTCTTCAAAAATGTCTTCGCCCCTCCCCAACAAGCTCTTTGAAGGAAGTTATTATTGCTGAAAGCTCAAAAACTCGCATGTGCTGCTCAAAAACCTATGGGAAAAAATGTTCGAACGTGTGATTTTCTCGAAAAATGAACTTTGAAAAACGGTTTGGTGCTTGTTAGAAAGAGCAAATCCTGTACTTTCACCCCATGAAAAAAGTGCATCACAGAAATGAAAATGAAGTGAGTTATGGCCCGCTGAAAGCCCAAAAACTCGCGATTTCAAAAAAAGTGTTCGGCAAAACCCCCCAAAATGTTCGAACGTGTGATTTTCTCGAAAATAAACTTTGAAAAACGGTTTGGAGCTTGTTAGAAAGAGCAAATCCTGTACTTTCACCCCATGAAAAAAGTGCATCACAGAAATGAAAATGAAGTGAGTTATGGTCGCTGAAAGCCCCAAAAACTCGCTTTTGCACGAAAAATGTTCGAACGGGACAATTTTTTGAAAAAGGGGTCAATCACTAAACTTTTTACTGTTTTGATAGAGAAATATTTGAAGTTTCTGAAACTTTTGACAGCTTTCCAAAAGGTCATACGAAGGATATTATGGGCTTCAAAGTTGAAGGTGCGCCTTCTCAGAATTTTGGGTTTTCCACTTTTAACAGAGTACTTTCCGGAGATGTTAGGTAATCCTTGTAGTTTTCTGAAAGCGCACCTCAGGCACAGTTCAAAATCTACCTCAACAAGTCAAAAAATACGTCCCAAGAAAGTTATTCCCCTCTAAAATTTTTTCTTCGCCGCGTCCCGTTCTTCCAGCGCCCGGTGATACCTGCCGCGCTCCAAGGCTGACGCCGCAACGCAGACGCTTTCTGGCGCAACGGATTCATGTTGGGACCTCCTCGAGAGCTAGAAGGTTGCAAAAATCTAGAAAATGTTCGAACGTGACGGTTGACCCTGGGGGAGGGGCGCTGTGAAGCTTCTTCGGCGCCTTATAACGCCACTGATAGCGCACCTTCTGCCGCGGAAGCGCCCATCGTAGTTGTTTGATTATCGGCCAAATCTATAATTATAACACAGATAAATTAGACTTTCAGTCGTTGAGACTGCTTTTGAGATGCGCTCAGCACATACTGCTGAATTGCCCGCTTCAATTTAGTTTTCTAAACCCACTCAAACGCAGAGTGAGCAACAATCCTAACCATTGAGTTGTGATCCAAATAAGCATCATCTTCAGGGGAGTTCGGGTTAGGTGCTTTCACCGAGAATGAGTGAAGCGAGTATTGAAAATCGTCAGGATCGTCTTTGAGGTGCGTTGCATTCCTCGCTTTTTTTTCTAGCCGCTGCTGCCTAAGACATAATGAAAAGGATAGTCCGATGAAGTAATTCAAGGGCTATGCGATGGATATGGTTATTTCCTCAAAACGTGCTTTTCAAAGGGAGGTCGAGCGTTCAATTTCGAGAAAGGAGATCGTGATTGTGAGACGTTTAGGGTGGTTCTTTCACACTGCTGCTGCCAAACCCGGTAGCTGTTCCACGATAGCATTCGCAATGCTTGTCTGGGTACAGCAAAAAGTTATGAGAACGAAATACCCACTCAACCTAAGAAATGAAGAGCAACATTCCACCGAACATTGCGTGGCTTTGGTTAGCTGGAAGTCTAACTGCGCAGTGACATCATGCTG